TCTTCTCTCCTCGACCACTTGGTTTGATCTTTTTTTTCAAACCCCGTCAACTTTGGCAAAATCAACTAGTTTGGCGATTTTCCCTATCTTATTTGGCGAACTTCAACTTTAGGGTTTTCATTAAATTTCAACTTTCTTGGTTTTTCTATCAAGTATTCATCCTCGCCTTTTACTTTAGCATTCATGGATGCAAATCATGAAAATATAATATGAATAGGATGTAATTAGGCAACGAGGACAATAATTATTGAGCTAAATAGGCCTCAATGAGTGTAAATCTACCACTCATCGGTGAGGCCTACCAATAGGCTACCTCTCTTCACTTCCCCAAAATATCAAAAGGTCCATTGAACTGCAGACTGAGCTTTCCTTCATTTCCAAACCTCATCACACCTTTGGTGGGTGACACTTAAAGCAAAACCCATTCACCAATAGCAAAGGACACATCTTTGACCCACCTATCTGCATACCTCTTGTGCCTACTCTATGCAGTCACAAGGTATTGTTGAATCAACTTCACCCTATCCATGGAGTTTCTCAACAAATCACTGCCCTAAGGTTGTACTTTAACTTAATCAAACAAACCAACGACATATCTACACCTCCTCCTATAAAAAGCCTCAAACAGTTCCATTTGAATACTGGAATAGTAAGTGTTGTTATAGGCAAACTCTTCAGGAGGTAGGAATTGATCCCAATGACTACCAATTTCCATGACAAAAGTCTGAAGCATATCCTCAAGCACCTGAATAGTCAACACAAACTGACCATCGGTTTGAGGATGGAATGTAGTACTCAACTCAAGTTTGGTACCCATTTGCTCATGCATAGAACTCTAGAAATGATATGTGAACTGCGCACCCCTATCAGACATAAAAATATGGGCACCCCATGGAACCGAACAATCTCATGAATTTAGATCCTAGACAAATGCTCTACATTGTAGTTAGTCTTTGATATACGGTGAATTTATGATATTTTTAATACATTTCACTTAACAGTTGCATGTGTCTAGGGCCTTTTTGTATTAGTTTTTATGTGTTTTTGTTGTGTTTTCGCAAGAAATATGTTTGGATGCAGAAATAAAGAGACAACTGAGAGATGTGCAGAAAAGGGCATCTACGGACCGTAGGTCCATTGACGCTCCGTAGATGGTGATCGTAGATCAGCAGACAAGGCATGGAAGGAAAATCAGGGAAATCTGACCAAGTGTGGAACCACGGTGGCCATTGACGGTTCGTAGATTGATCTACGGACCGCATTGATGATCCGTAGAATGATACTGCTAGGGTTCCAGTTCCTGATTTTTGAAGAGTCTAAGTGTGGAGCTATGGAGAAGGATCGACATACCGTAGATCGATCTACGGTACGTACTGGTGGTCCGTCGTTTTCTTCAGAGAAGTTGAGTTTTGGAAGATGAAAATATTGCCTAAGTCCTGGGTGACAAAAAGGACTCACGAACCGTAGATCCATTGACGAATCGTGAGTCAGTCTCATGGAATGAAGACGCGTACCTGAACATACGTTTCCTTTTTAGTTAGGATTTATTTTTCTATATATAGGGCTTGAAAACCTAATTTTTGGGGGTTAGACTTTATTACTTTAGTTCTACTTTGTGACTTTGGATTTTAATTTTGCAAACCTAGCAATTCTTGATTTCCTAAGTTGGTTTTGAAGGTTTTGGTTTTGAAATTCAAGTTGAAATTTCGGGTTTGTTATTCTCAATTACGTAAGCTCATAATTCTTTCATCTAAAATAATGAATTGTGTTCATATGATTATGGGTAACTCCACAACTAGGGTGGTGCGAACCATGAGCGATTAACAAAGTATGAATAGTAAATAAGCAATTCTTAAATAGTGTTTTGCATGCATTGATAATTCTTTCGTTTAAATGTCTTTTTAAAGGTGCGCAATGTTAGAACTTGCCTTGTTGCTACTTGCCGGACCAAGGAGGTAATCAACAAGAAAAGAATTATCAACATAGATTTAGTGTGATACTATCTAATAGTCTAGTGTCGATTGGTGCGAAGTAATAACTAAGCCAAACATCGATGTGATGTCTAATATGAGGTAAAGGTAAGAGTTAGTAAATTGTACACACATAGCCGGACCAAGATGCAGGGTGAAATTCTCTAGATGCCAGACCAAGGATTTAGAGATACCTAGCTTATCACTTTGCATGTAGTACACTAGGAAAGGATTTCTATTACTAGGATTACTGTGTTATGAGCTTTTGGGAAAAACGTATACCCTAGTTAATTCTCTCATCTTGATAACAACAAAAATTAACTTTTGTTTACTGATTACTTACTGAATTCTTACAAGTTGTTTCAAAAATCACCCCCTTTAATTACTTATTTCTGGATGTAATTTAACTAAATGAATATAATTATTGGTTAAAGTTAAGTCTAAACCATTTTTCTCATGGGATCGACCCCAACCTCCAAGTTAGGTTCTTTACTTGATAATGATCGCTTATGCTTCTTTAAGGAGGTGTAATTTGAGCGTATCAAATTTTGGCGCCGCTGCCGGGGAATTTGTATTTTAGATTTATTTTAACTACATTATTGAACTTTAGTCAAATATTTCCTAATTTTACTTTTTTTTTCTTTTTGTCTCTCTTAGGTTCTGACTCTAGTGTATGTCAAGTACACAAAGCCAGGGTGAACCACTTACTCCTTAGGATCTAGAGTTGAACCGAACTTTGTGAAGAATGAACAATCAAGGAGTTCAAGTTAATCCTATCAGAGGCAATCTAGGTGATGAAGTTGAGTTGCAACCTCCGAGGGTAGTTGGTGGGGACAACCAAGTTCCAGCTGAAAATCAATTGGGAGATGCATTGAGGGTGTAGGGTCCACCAGTCCCACGACTGCATGACAACTATAGGGGCAACAACAATATTGCTGACTCTGATGGACCTCTTGTCCTACCCCCTTTGCCTCCGGGGCACACATTTGTAGTGAACAGTAGCTTGATGCAGATGCTTATAACGAGGGGCTTGTTCTCGGGGTTGCCATCGGAGGACCCACATGCTCACATAGCCAAGCTAAGGGTGGTTTGCAAGAGTTGTGTAGGTCGTCCAGATTTGGATATGGATGTCATCGGATTGTAAGTGTTCCCTCTATAACTGACAGGCGATGCTGTTGTACGGTTCACTGTGATTCCTTATAACTCAATCTATACATGGGACCAACTGAAGGATGTGTTCTTAGCAAGATATTATCTAGTGTCCAAGAAGCTCAATCACAAAGATAAGGTCAACAATTTTATGGCTTTACCTGGAGAGTTTGTGAGTAGCTCTTGGGACAGATTCACTACGTTGGTAAGAGGTGTTCCAAATCACCGTATTGATAATGAGTCGCTGAAGGAATATTTCTATCGAGGTCAAGATGATAACAATAAAGCAGTGCTTGATATTATTGCTGGAGGTTCATATGGTGAGTGAACATACGTAGATTGCAGAAAAACTGGAGAAGATCTCTTGCAATAATAAAAGATAGAGCACTAGGAGGTCAGATACTGGGATAAACACATTTGCCGTTCGTGCTACAAACAACCAGTCTGCGGGTGAGATTCGTGAAGAGATGGCTCAGATGAGGACCAAGTTGGGGTTGGTATTGAAGCATGTAAGCGAAGGTGCGGAAAAGGTAAATGTTGTGAACTACTTGACTAGAACTCCACCACCAGTTGATGAGTGTTACTATGAAGAGTATGCTTATGCGGTGAATGATCAAACGGGGGGTTTCCGACCACACGCCCAAGGATCCAACACGGACAATTGACACCAAGGTCGAAACTATGGCAATTAAAACCAAGAGGGTCAATATGTCCGGGATGGGAACTTCAATCATTACAACACCTACAATCGAAACAACTATGGCGATAGAAACGATCGGGTTGGACCTTATGTTCCCCCTCAAAATTGGGAATCTGGTACTAGGGAAGCTAAAGGAAATATGGCGCGTATTGAAGATATGATGCAGAAGATGATGAGAAGGTTTGATGCAACTGATGAGAATGTGAAGGAGATGAGAAACGACTTGTCTGGTATTGGTCAAAAGGTTGATGCCCATGCGTGTCAATAAAACATGTAGAGCAGCAAATGACTCAGTTGTCTACTACAATAAGCCCACAACAACCTGACACTCTTCCTAGCAACACCATCCAGAATCCAAAGAATGATGGTCATTGTATGACAGCTACTACTCGAGGGGGTAAGCAAACCATTGATCCACCTATGCCGTCTGTGGTGGATGTTGAGATTAAAAAAGAAGATGATGTGGTATAGAGGTTAGAGAAGAGTCTGAGAATGCGACAGAGAAAGAAGCGGAGATATCTAAGAAAGTGGTCCCCATACCTAGACCTCCACCACCTTTTCCACAAAGGTTAGTGAAGAAAACTGAAGATGGTAAATATCGCAGATTTATTACTATGTTGAAGCAACTTTCCATCAACGTTCCATTGATAGAAGCTTTGGAGCAAATGCCTGGGTATGCGAAGTTTATGAAAGATATGGTGACAAAGAAAAGGTCTGTGAGTTTTGAAGATGATGGGAGGTTGCAGCATTGTAGTGCCATTTCTACGATGTCACTGGTACAAAAGAAAGAGGATCTTGGAGATTTCACTATTCCATGCACCATCGGTAAGATGCACTTTGCAAAAGCTTTGTGTGATTTGGGTGCCAGCATTAACTTGATGCCATTGTCGATTTATAAGAAGTTGGGTTTAAGAGCTCCAAAACCAATTGCAATGCGTTTACTTATGGCTGATAGAATTGTGAAAATGCCCATTGGAGTGCTTCAAGATGTCCTTGTGAAAGTGGGGCAATTCATTCCTCCGGCAGACTTTATTATACTTGATTGCGAGGTTGACTTTGAGGTCCCCATCATCTTAGGGAGACCGTTCCTTGCTATTGGGCGTGCCTTAGTTGATATAGAAAGAGGGTAGATGAAGTTCTGACTAAATAAGGAGGAGGTGACCTTTAACGTCTGTAAGTCTATGAAGCAGGCAAGTGATCTTAAATCGATATCGGTGGTGAGTCACACTTTCAGAAGAAGTGCTAAAGTGTTTAGTAAGGAGAAGTTAGGTGTAGCCTTGTACACGGAGAAGAAGCGCCATGCTCAAAACACTGAAAAATGCAAACTAGCTCCTGGTGATCTGGTGTTGTTGTATAAAGCAAGGTTGTGTTGTTTTCTGGGAAGATCTAAGTCCCAGTGGACTGGACCATTCAGAGTGACCCAAGTGTCCCCACATGGAGTGGTTGAGCTCGAGAAAAGGAATGGGACAAGGTTCAAAGCCGACCAACGGAGGATAAAAAGCTACATGGGAAATTCTAAGAGTGTAAATGTAGTGATAGAGGCCTGGCATCTTGATAAAGTCTGAGTAATCAAGGGGACTGCGTTGTGCCACGACGTTGAATCAAACACTACTTGGGTGGCAACCCAAGATGTACAATCTAGCTTACTATAGGTTTTGTTTTGTATCTAGTAGTTTGTTTGGTTAATTATGTCTTTGTACTCAATTAGATAAGTGCTTTAATTTCTTAGTTAGTGTTGGCTAGATATAGCATAGGGTCCGTGTCTAAAAAGTGTCCAGAAAATGTAAAAGGAATGGCCTAATGGTTGCTACATGTGTAGGTGTGCAAGGCAAAATCTGCAGAAAATGGTCTGGTGCAGAGGTCTACGGACCCCATCAACAGTCCGTAGTCCATTCTACAGACCGTAAATGACGTCTGTAGATCCTAGGTAAGTGTCTGAAATTTTACAAAGTGTGAAGGTGATCTACGGTCCCCATCTACGGACCATAGATCGACCTACAAACCGTAAGTGTGGTCTCGTAGGTCCAACCTTAGCTAAACCGGACCCACCCGCTTGTTGATGGTTTTTTGGTGCTAAGCGCCACAGGTTTGCTTCACCCAAATACATTAATTTTTACTGCTTTTTGTGTGCATTGGGGACAATTGCACCTATTTTTGTTGGGGGTGGGGTAGATGGATTGTAAGTGATAGGGTGAAGTCTGAGTAACTAAACTCATAATCCTCTCTTGGGATTTTTTGCCTGTGCTCTTTTTCCCCAAGAGACAGCTTAATTTTTGTAAAATTGTCATGTGTTAGGATTGTATGTGTAGAAGCATGAGAACGAATGAAGCATGATGGCAAGCTTATTGAAAAAATGATACCCGTCCAAAAATTTTGTGATATGTGCTAAAATCGGTAGGCTTGAATGAGTTGAATGTGTTGGCTATGAGTATGACATGATAATGAATCAACTTGATGGCATGACTTACGCTAAAACTTGAACTAGGTAATCTGATAATGAAACTATGTGCCAAGAGTGTGTGAGAATAGTTGATTGTTCAAATAGTTTTTGCACCAATCTAGAACTTGCCTGGTTAGTCCTGCTAAGACAATCTACTCTAGAGGCTAGGAAGTGATCATAGGCCCTTGTTCTGATAAGTCCATAAATTGCCTAAAAGAAGAATCCAACCAAATGAAATAAATGCTCCCTTTGATCCAAATGCTTTGAGCCTAAATTAGACCATTTCTTTCTAAACCCCTAACTCACCTTCTCATAATCTACTATGTTGGCCCCGGTCCCTCCTTGGACATGTGCACATCGACTTAGGCCAAAAGCCTAAGTTAAGGGTGGCTAATGTAAAAAGTAACCTCAATCTTGGCCTTTACCCGACATCGGGTATTGTGCACTCAACCAATGGAAAATCCATAAGTTGAAGGTGACTATGAAAGAGGAAACTGAAAGAAAAATAGGTATGAAAGAGTTTGATGTTGAAAAAGAGAAAAAGAAAAGAGAGGAAAGGATGTGACTTGTTGAAAGCTAAAGAAAAGAATAAAATGCAAGAAAAAGATGAAAGTGAAAAATAAAGAGCGACAAAGTCTATAGTCACATCCATGGTTGAATAGAATCAAAGGAAAGAAAGTAAAATGGTAGGATGTCAAAAATAGGGTAAAAAGAGGTAGAAAGCCTAATGTAATGTCAAGGAGGGCAGAAAGTCACTAAAAAGTACCCAAATGTACCACACCTGACCCTCAGCCTACGTTACAAGCCAAGAAAGTCCTATAGTGATCCTAGAACCTAGTTTAGAGAGTCTAAGCAGTGAAAAAAAGGGCAAGCCTATGGTATTGAGCACTAACTGTACTTGAAGTTACTTCTGAATGTGAGTGTTGAATGAATCCTTGTACTAAAAATCAAATTCATTGTGTGAAAAAGGGATTTCGTTTGAGGTAAGGGCACTAGTTACATTGTCGGAAAGTTGGTACCTTGGTGATAGTAAAACAATGTATGTTATGTGTTGGTTGGTCGGTCTTTGTCATGTTTGGGTCCGCACAAGTTAGCTTATTGAGTATGACAGAAAAGATTTGCACTCGAGAAGAGAGTCGGGGTAGAGAGCCATGCGATTGCTTGTGCTTGAAATGCTTGCTTCTATACAAGTGTCGTTTAGAGTCTTAGTGCGTCGCTTGAGGACAAACAACGAATTTAAGTTGAGGGAGTTGATATACCGTGAATTTACGGTATTTTTAATACATTTCACTTAAGAGTTGTGTGTGTCTAGGGCCTTTTTGTATTAGTTTTTATGTGTTTTTATTGTGTTTTTGCAAGAAATATGTTTGGACGCAGAAATAAAGAGACAACTGAAAGATGTGCAGAAAAGGGCATCTACGGAGGTGATCTACGGACCGTAGGTTCATTGACGGTCCGTAGATGGTGATCATAGATCAGCAGGCAAGGCATGGAAGGCAAATCAGGGAAATCTGACCAAGTGTGGAACCACGGTGGCCATTGACGGTCCGTAGATTGATCTACGGACCGCACTGCTGATTCGTAGAATGATACTGCGAAGGTTCCAGTACCTGATTTTTGAAGATTCTAAGTATGGAGCTATGGAGAGGGATCGACGGACCGTAGATTGATCTGCAGTACGTACTGGTGGTCCATTGTTTGCTTCAGAGAAGTTGAGTTTTGGAAGCTAAAAATATTGCCTAAGTCCTGGGTGACGGAAGGGACTCACGGACCGTAGATCCATTGACGGACCGTGAGTCAGCCTCGTGGAATGAAGATGCATACCCGAACATAATTTCCTTATTTCGTTTCCTTTTAAGTTAGGACATATTTTTATATATATATAGGGCATGAAAACATCGTTTTTGGGGATTAGACTTTATTACTTTAGTTCTACTTTGTGACTTTGGATTTTATTTTTGCAAACCTAGCGATTCTTGATTTCCTAAGTTGGTTTAGAAGGTTTTGGTTTTGAAATTCAAGTTGAAATTCCGGGTTTGTTATTCTCAATTACGTAAGTTCATAATTCTTTCATCTAAAACAATGAATTGTGTTCTTATGATTATCGGTAACTCCACAACTAGGGTTGTGGAACCATGAGCGATTAACAAAGTATGAATAGTAAATAAACAATTCTTGAATAGTGTTTTGCATGCATTGATAATTCTTTCGTTTAAAAGTCTTTTTAATGGTGCACAACGTTAGAACTTGCCTTGTTGCTACTTGCTGGACCAAGGAGGTAATCAACAAGAAAAGAATTATCAACATAGATTTAGTGTGATACTATCTAATAGTCTAGTGTCGATTCGTGCGAAGAAATAATGAACCAAACATCGATGTGATGTCTAATATGAGGTAATGGTAAAGGTTAGTAAATTATACACACGTAGCCGGACCAAGGTGCGGGGTGAAATTCTCTAGATGCCAGACCAAGGATTTAGAGATACCTAGCTTATCACTTTGCATGTAGTACACTAGGAAAGGATTGCTATTATTAGGATTACTGCTTTATGAGGTTGTGGGGAACACGTATACGATAGTTAATTCTCTCTTCTTGGTAACAACAAAAATTGACTTTTTTTTACTGAGTACTTACCGAATTCTTACAATTTGTTTCACAAATCCCCCCCTTTAATTACTTGTTTCTCGAAGTAATTTGACTAAATGAATATAATTGTTGGTTAAAGTTAAGTCTAAACCATTTTCCTCGTGGGATCTACCCCAACCTACAAGTTGGGTTCTTTACTTGGTAACGATCGCTTATGCTTCTTTAGGGTGGTGTAATTTGAGCATATTAGTCTTCACCAGAATGAAATTAGCCGACATGGTCAACCGGTCCACAATAACCCAAACTGAAGCAAACTTACCCAAAGACATGGGTAATCCAGTCACAAAGTCCATAGTAATGCGCTCCCGCTTCCACTAAGGGATGAGTAACCTTTGCAATGTACCACCTAGTCTTTGTACTTCACTTGTTGACGGTTCCAACACTTGGCCACAAAATCCACAATGTCTCTCTTTATACCACACCACCAATAGTGTTGCTTCAAATCGTGGAACATTTTGGTTGTCCTTGGGTGAATAGAGTATTTAGAATAATGACCCTCTCCTAATATCATACACACCCAACCACCAACACTAGGAACACAAATATAGCCACAAATCCTCAAAGCTCCCTCAGGATAAAGAGACGCCGACTTAGCTTCACCTTTCAACACCTTCTCCCAAATCACTTTCAACTTATCATCCTCTAATTGATGGGCACAAATATGATCCATCAATATAGACCTAGCCTCAACGAAGGCTAAAATAGAGTGAGGTGTAGAAATATTGAGTCAACCCAACTATCTAGCCAACAATTGAACCTCTAAATCTAAAGGTTTCTCCTTCACTTTAAGAAAGGCTAACCTACACATACTAGGTGTCTTCCGACTCAAAGCATCTCCTACTATGTTTGCCTTGCACATATGATAGAGAATGGTGATGTCATAGTCCTTCAGTAATTCCAACCATCTACACTGCCTCATGCTTAGATTCGGCTAATAAAAGAGATACTTAAGGCTAAGTTGATCAGTAAAGATCTCACAATGCACAACATAGATGTCACGACCCAAGCCTAGGGCCTAGACGTGACATGGCGAATGAGGAACCCGAAGGAACCCCAAACAAGCCTCTCAAACTTGTCATCACACTTCATCGGTCGCGGAAGTACATTCAACATTAATTAACGGGAAATAGGGACTAAGGGCAAACCATTTCAAAATGACATCATAGAACAAGAGTCAAGCTCATTTACAAAATACTTGTCCAACGCACACCTCTACATACATAGATAGGACGGGGCCATGACATACTACCGGCTCCCCTCATAGTCAAAATACAATTGCAAGCTAAAGTCTCAAAACATAGGAGTAGGAAACATAACATAGCCCTCGAATCATTGAGGACTCACCAACAACTCGGATAAGCACCGTACTAGCCACGTGAACGGAGAGAAGGATCAAAAGTAGCTCCGGTCCCTACATGGTGACATCATGTAGGAAAAATATGCGTTAGTACTTGGAATGTACTAAGTATGCGGGGTGC